CACAAGACTGGACGTGCCGTTTACGGCAACCAGCTTTTGGAATCAGCTTTGTTTTATGCATCTCTTGCATTCTAGTTAAAACCAATCGTGTCCTACTGGTATTTGAAGCCAAAATCCCCACCAGTCTCCACCGTAAATGGTGGGGACTAAACCTGCAGTTCTTACTGGTGTTCCTGTTCACATTTGTGCAAGTGATGATCTGTGTGGTTTGGTTGTACAATGCCCCACCAGGGAGTTACAAGAACTATGATATTGATGAGATCATCTTTATCACCTGTAACGAGGGCTCCATGATGGCATTGGGGTTCCTTATCGGTTATACATGCCTGCTGGCAGCTGTTTGTTTCTTCTTTGCATTCAAGTCTCGAAAACTTCCTGAAAACTTCACAGAGGCCAAGTTCATAACATTTAGCATGCTGATTTTTTTCATTGTTTGGATCTCCTTCATCCCTGCATACTTCAGCACGTATGGCAAATTTGTCTCAGCGGTTGAGGTCATTGCCATTCTGGCCTCCAGCTTTAGTTTGCTAGCCTGTATCTTTTTCAACAAGGTGTACATCATTCTTCTAAAACCATCCAGGAACACAATTGAGGAGGTTCGCTGTAGCACAACAGCTCATGCTTTCAAAGCAGCAGCAAAAGCGACACTACGACAAAGTTCTGCCTCCAGGAAGAGGTCAAGCAGCGTGGGTGGGTCCTCTGCCTCCTCCCCCTCTTCCTCAATCAGCATGAAGACCAATGGGAATGAAATGGAGTCCCCCTCTACACGGAGACATAGTCAGAAACCAAGGGTGAGCTTTGGAAGTGGAACAGTCAGTCTCTCCTTAAGTTTTGAGGAAGCTAGAAAGAACTCGGTCAAATGAGTGCACAAACTGGTTTGTGAATGATTGTACTTCCACTGTAATGTAAATCATGTTTTGATTAAAGGATATGGTTGGTTTTGGCATCACGGTGGTGGTATCAATATCCATCATTTTCTCCAAAGCAACCTCCGCTGAATATGAGAACAGCCAGAACCCCTCCCAGTCTTCAGGCACAGACTAATCTCTGTCAACAAAACTTAGACCTGCCATAACTCACTGACACAAGAGTCATTTGTGTGCGAGCCATTTGTTTACCACAGCATTCATTCATAGGCACTTTATGTCACTCTGTTTAAGGCATCTGCAAAATGCCTTAAATGTAACACAGAAGCAGATAAATAAAACAAAAACACTTGATTTCTGTCTAATGTTTTCTAGTCCCTTGAAAATAGTTTTACTAGTTCGGAGAAGAGCTTACAAGCAAAAAGGGAAAGTGACAGAGCCTGTAATACAACTTGTATCTATATCAGACTGCTTTTTTGAGATGGTGACAACTACAAGGTTGCAAAGGATTTTAAACGGACCCAGAGATGACCTTTCTTGCCCAATAAGCAGGTAAGATACCTGTTGATTACAGGCTCTACACAGTCCCTTTTTGACTGGAAGCTCTTCTTTGAACAAAGTTTATTTTCTTTAACAATGGATGACTCCTCACATGGTTGCCTTTTTGAATTATCCATTGTATCAACAGTATTGCTCATAATATGGCTAAAAGCTGTCAGAACTAACACACCCTTCACTGCACAACACATGCACTGTAATAGTGTGACCTTATTCTCATTGGAAGTAACTTAAACCATGCAAAGACAAATGCTGTAAAAACGGACATTTCCCACTAAGTTTGATGCAACAACTTAAACTATAAATAATTATTACAAGGAGACAGTTTGAATACTGACTTTTTACGTGATTTGTCAACAATTGTTTTTTAAACAATAAAAATCAAGGTACATTTACTGTAGATCCCAGAGGAGAATAAACATAAATAGAGCAACTAATTGCCAACAGATGTAAGCAATGACATCGTAATAGTTGTTTCTGATTGGACAACAAGCTTAACAATGACAACTGTAACTGCAGATAGATAGATAATATTTCATTTTCATATAAAAACAACAATTTATATAATATATAATATAAAACAATAGCTAGGTTATTGTTACTAAATTGTTACATATTTGAGAGATGATTGCGTTTTACTGGACCATCTTGCCTGTGCAAAAATTTTGGTCTTGATATCCAAATACTAGTCAAAAGAAAGTAAATTCTTCTTTCAGTCCAAGAGACAAAGGAAGCAGGAAACAAGGTGGTGGTGAAATGAGCAGAGGGATAACTTTGATACTCAGTCTGATTTAATATGACCAGCGCATCAAGCGTTCTACTAAAGCACAAGGAATGAAAAATTACTACCTCACAACAGAAGTGTACAAAACCGATGTATGTTTGCTCTGTTTAATCAAGTGGATCAGTTGACTTAAATTCAGATGTCAGAAATTGCACAAACACTGATGGTTCAGATTAAAAGTAAACATTAAAGGGATAGTTCACCCAAAAATGAAAATTAGCTTATTATTTACTCACCCTCAAGCCATCCTAGGCTTATATGACTTCCTTCTTTCAGATGAATCCATTTCGGTGTTGCGCATGCGCCGGTGAGTCTCGTGAAAACCAACGTTTGTTAACAGGAGCAAAGGAAGCAAAGTTTCCTTACTTTAGCAAAGGAAAACAAGTCTCCTCTTGGCTTATATCGAAATCCTCCGATATTCTTCCTTACAAATCCTCGTTTTGTACTTCTAATTCGTGACCATTGTTTTGTTTTGATCTCTCCCCTGCGCTTCCACGTTCGTCACTTCTGAGTGGCGCATACGCAACCCTGACATCCTACGTCATCCGCCCAGAGCTGCTTCCGTGTACAACAGTGAGCACAAGCTAGATTAAATTGATTATTACGTTTTAAATATGGATATTTTTCTTACAAAAATGCATCGATTCGCTACAGGAGGCCTTTGTTCACCCCCCGCAGCCGTGTGAGGCACTTTTTATTATGGATGGATGCGCTTTATTTTACTTCTTTTGGACTGATGAACTGCAACACCCGCTGACTGCCATTAAACAGCTTGGAAGATCAAAGACAGTTTTAATATAACTCTGACTGGATTCGTCTGAAAGAAGAAAGTCATATACACCTAGGATGCCTTGAGGGTGAGTAATTCATGGGCTAATTTTCATTTTTGGGTGAACTAACCCTTTAATAAAAGCATAACCATTCAATGCATTTGTTGAAATGAGATTTAGTGACATCTATGTTCAGAAGGAAAATTAAAGGTCAGGGGACATCCTTCCCTAATTGCTTGCAAAATTGGGCCTGTCCCAATACCCACATTTGCAGTCTTGGCCACTTGAGAATGTGTGAATGCGACAGGAAGTAAGTACACAAGACTGCCCCAGGACTGCTCAGTAATGCACACTATTTTGAGTAGTATTTCAGGCTAAGCATATTCTGTCATTCATCATGTTCAGGAACTCACGTGGAAATCACGAGATGTCAAGGAAAATTGTAAAATTGCAGTGTAAATTCATTTAATTGGATATTTGATATTTATATAAAATGTAAAGTGTAGGATATTTTATAGGAATTTTATATTTTATCACAATTAAAAGCACCACAATTAAATTGTGGCATTAGGAACTACTAAACAGAAATGTAGATGTTTAAAGTGCAAAGAATTAAATGTACAAAATGTGTACGTAACGCTCTGTAAAAACTTTACTTGCACTTGAACACTTAATGAAATACGCCATGTAAGTAGACAAGTAATCAAATGACAGACCCAGTTGGTCCAAATACCCACACTGTGGTCACTAGTTGGGAGTGCATGCACACAACAGGAATCAAGTGCACAAGATTGTCCCACACTACCAGGGCTGGACTGGGACAAAAAATCGGCCCTGGCATTTTTTGGTCCAGGCGGCCCATCACCACTTCGATATATATATATATATATATATATATATATATATATATACACCTATGTATCACACTCATATCACATCTTGTTTTGGATAAGAATAAAACGTCAGGTCCGACAATATCGTGTCTTTTTTTATTTAAATCTAGTTTTATTCGCATTGGCCCATGGAACCCTCTATGAACACACTTGACTTGACTTGGCTAAAAAATCGCATGGGACGAATTTACGTTTTATTAAAAAGTGTTTACGCATACACTCATGGCGCACAGCCGCGCACACACATTAGGATAGGTTAGATGCCTGCCCTTCATCGCTCCGTCTATAGCGCATTGTGATTGGATGTTTACGCTGTCAGTACAGGAGACAAACCAATGGGCCACTGGCTGCTCGCTGTCCCTGCGTGATGGTTTTCGGCAAAAAAACATTCTGTCGGCCCCTTAAGTGCGTCGGCCCACCGGGAAAATGCCCGGTATGCCCGATTACCAATCCAGCCCTGCACACTACATCCACATCATTTGGAATACCGCTTCAGAGCTGTATTCAAGGCTAAGCGAATCCCATCATGCATCATGCTCTGGACATAAATCGTGAGACTTGAAATGTCCTGGCTCTTCCAAGCTTTATGGCAGTGAATAGTGGTTTTGAAGCAAAATAAAGTGCATAAATCCATCATAAAAAGTACACCTAAGATGGCTGAGGGTGAGTAAATCATGGGGTAGTTTTAATTTTTGGGTGAACTATCCCTTTAAATGTCATACATAGGGACTACTGAAATGAAATGTAGTTTACACTGAAAAGTTTATTTTAAAGTGCAAAGTATTACATGTACAAAATGTGAAAAACAAAAAAACCCTGTTTTACAACACTATGTTGTAAGTTTGTCCCACTGGATAATCAAAAGTTCTACATACATTTGTGGTCTTCACGCCCACTTGAACGCTTTTGGGCCAAATCCTGGAAATACGTCATGTAAATAGTAGACAAGTATTCAAATACAAAGACCATAAGTGTGAGTATTTGGACAGGCCCAGTATATCGTGTTAAAATGCTGTTGTTTGCGGGCGGAATGGTGTAGTTACTGCATCTGCCGGCAGGTGTTGCGGTGCTCACCAGCCTCCATTAGCAGAATGACTCCAGCCAATGACGTCCCACCAGCGTCTGTATTTGCGGAAATGCTGTGTTTTAGTACAGACACAGTGGTGGGGCTTGAGCTGAGAGTGCAGCTGCTTTCAGAGCCGTAAGTCGTTTTAGCCTTTATTTACTTTCCTTATATGTCTGTGTTCCCTTCAAAAAATACCAGTTAAGAAGTGCGCAGTGCAAACTATACTAGCATGTGTACGGTTAATAGAATCGCTAGTTTTTTTGTCGAATGTGCGACCATATACCTAAACCACGCTGTCAAATAGTTCGACTACAAATTAAATAAAGTACCGCATAGTCTTCGCTTTCTTTTCATTTGAAAGGAGGACAAAATAATTCATATTTTAAACATGATCTCAAGACGTTGAAATAAAGCACATGTCGTAAATGCTAATTTTAAGGCACGACAAAAAACCGATTTCAAATGACATTTTTCAAGTGACAGTCATTAAGAGATAATATACATTATCGCAATTATCTTATACTACAGACCCGGGGTTGTTATCCTTTTTTCCCCCCACCCAGCCATGATATACAATGTTATTTCTTTCCTCTATAAAGTAAAACGTAACAAACGAAAAGTGACTAACGTTAGACATAATTCGAAAACAGGACCTTCAGCAGCACATTCGCAAGCACTAGCTAAAAACAATACACTTTATAAATTGTTTGACGTGGCAAGGACAAGAGAAGGTCCGGTTACAAAGAAAACAAATGATGAAATGCACACAACAGACTTAAAGTAGTGAAGTGTGTCAACAAGAAACGTGAGAAGAGGGGCGTATTAGTGACAAGCTATGTAAGAAGAAAAAGGAACAGCATTGCTCCGGGTGAAAAACCTGAAGAATGTGACTAACAGGTAACACTTGCCAGTAAGGAAAGTAGTGCGGTATTTTGTGCATGTGTGGGTACCTGTTTTTATATCCTGGTGGGGACTTAAACCTGAATACACACAGACTCATGGGGACTCGTGTCTCCGTGGGGACCTAAAGGGGTCATATGATGCGATTTCAAGTTTTCCTTTCTCTTTGGAGTGTTACAAGTTGATTGTGCATAGATAAGATCCCTGAAGTTGCAAAGACTAAAGTCTCAAAACCAAAGAGATATTCTTTATCAAAGTTAAGACTCTGCCACGCCCCCCTAAAACGGCTCGTTCTAACACGCCCCCACATATCTACCTCACTATGTGGAAATATTTGCATAATGCTGCCCAAATGTTCACGCAAAGAAAGAAGGCGTGGTTTCAGTAACCGCAGTTAGTGTTGATGCAGCATGTCAGGGAGACGCTGTGTGTTTCTAGGTGAAAGCAAAAGCACTTTATTTGGCCTTCCGAAAGTAGATGCATTTAGGAATCTTTAAGATTACTTACAACAGAACAGCAATGCATTTTATGGACGACCGTTTCGTGAACCTAGGAGAGGAGGTAATTCTGACTTTGCTATGACAATCTGGCGCTTCTGAATCAGCTACTGTTTTGTTATTAGTTTAAGTATTTGCTATTGACTGTTCAAATGCTGAGTTTTGCGCGCGTGTGTGTGTGAGAGAGAGAGAGAGAGACAGCGTCACATCACAGTAGAGTCAGCAGAAAAAGTTTAACATCATTCACTTCATAACTGCGACTCACACATTCACTCTGTGAAAGAGAGATGCTAGAATTGGATTCATTGCCACTCTCTGAGTCACCCTGGTCTTCACATTCAGCTATATCGGTTTTCTTTGCAAGTCTCAAATCTCCAGTACTATCACTTTTCTTTCGCTTTAAAGGTACTTTAAACAGTGTCTGTTCTGCATCCATGTCAATGCCATTACTCTCACATGTATCCTCATTAATAGAACCCGCGGGTCTATCATCGTCAAAAATCTCAGATTGACTCTGGTTAACCGCTTGCAGCTCTGCCGCAACCGGCTCAGGCTCAGCGCGCTCTGTTCCAATCTGCTCAATCTCGGTCCGATCCTCTGTGGCCTGCTCTGCCGCGGACGCCTCCGGCTCTGCACGGACTACCATGGGTTGACTTGTCGCGGGTGAAACAGTTGCGTCATCCACATTTTGTTCGATTACTGACGTTTCTTTTTTTTTTCAGGACAATCATGGACTAAATGTCCCACTTTAGAGCAACCAAAGCACTTAATTTTTCCTGTTGTTGCGAATACAACATAGTCAAAATCATCGATGCGAAATTTAAACGTGAGATCCAGCTCAGCGTCGTCTTTTACAATCATATACACAAAACGTCTAAACGAAACAACATGTTTCAGCAAAAGAGAATCACTTCCAATCGGGATCTTTTTGATTGGAGAAACCAACTTGCCGTGACGGGAGAGGGATGATCTTTAAAAAAGCATCATATGACCCCTTTAAATTGAGGTCCCCATGGGGAAACAAGCTTGTAAACAATACAGAATTAAGTTTTTTGAAAACCTTAAAATGCAGAAAGTTAGTTTCCTGTAAGGGGTAGGTTTAGGTGTAGGGTGATAGAAAATATGGTTTGTACAGTATAAAAACCATTACGCCTATGGAGAGTCCGCACAAGGATAGCAAACCAGACGTGTGTGTGTGAATATCATGTTATAATTGTGATTGTAAAAAATACATGTGTTTTGTCAACAAAGCTTCCCAGGTGCATATGAAGTTTAAGTGAATGCCAATAGTGTGAAGAGCTGTAATACAGACAAAGTGTGTTTGGAAGAAACTAAAATCTAAAGACAGAAAGATGATGTTTTGATTTATTTTACATTTTGCTCACTACGTAATTCTTATGATTCCATTTGTGTTATTTCATAGTTTTAAAACAACTTGCATGCTTTGACTCTTATATGAGCTACTGTATGATTACATTTAGTCCGTTCTTGTGGTTTTAAACAACTATTTAGGGTTTTTGCTGTTCACTTCAATAGCACTGCAGTGTGACAAATGCATGTATGTAAATACCAATAATCCATGTACTCTTTCAATTAATATGTGGCCAAGAAATTTGACAATGTCAGATTTTAAACTTAACATGTCATATCACCCTAATACCGTTTTTCTTTTTTCTTTTTGTGTTTCAGCTTTTTCATAAAAGACTTCTCACAAGTTACTTCAACTGATGTATTCCCCTCAAGTGAACAATGAATGAAAAAACAGATGAAAGAGACTTTTGGAGGAACTCTTGTCAACTTTGAGTGCTTGTTTATCTTCCAGCAGATGCTCAGATGTCTCCTGCTTGCTGTTTTCTGGATTTCACCTCAAACTAAACTTCACTCATGGGCCTCTTTCCAGCCATGTCCAAGTTCATACGGAAGGGGAAGTGTTTGTTTCTTCTACTGTTGTGTCTTTGCGTTGTAGCGTGGATAGCAACATTGTCAAATGATGACACAGTTGAGCCTGTCCAGGAGGGATCAAATCCTCCTGAAGATAAGAGTGTCGAGGGGTTTGCTAAGCTGGAGCTGGAATCAGAGATGATGCAGAGCATAGAGGAGCGTGTAGAAGAGCAGGCTGCCAAAGAGAGCTGTCCAGAGCGCTCACCCCTGCTCCGTGAGTGTTGTCTGATTTAATCTTTTTTTGTGTGTTGATCTTAATGAAATGTTATGCTTGAAGTATAGGCAATGGTCAAATTGGTTTAAATTTGTTTAGAAAGAAATGCTTTCTTCTGTAGGAATGTTTCTTCTGTATATTCCCAGAAATAAAGGGAGGAAAGCTGTCACTGGGACAATACCTTCTCAAAACATACACTTTTGTACCTTTTAGGTGCTAATATGTACCTATCAGGCACCAGTATGAACCCTTTAGGTACAAATGTGTACCTCTTGAAAAGATATTGTCCCAGTGACAGCTTTCCTACCTTTGTTTCTGAGAGTGTAAAATGCAAAAGGCAGAATGTTCCAGCCTTTTATTTATTTTGATTGATGTACCATGTTTATTTATTTTGCTATTTAATATACTCATCCTACAATAAGGAATATTAGTAGCCTAGATGAAGGTATGATCATCTACTGATGTGCAAATATGCAAATGTTTTTTTAGAAAATTGTACTCCTTCAAACATCCATATATCTATTTGATCATTAAGCTATTTAATAGTCGGTAACACTTTAGATTAGGGAACACTATGTGTTTTCCCTCAATATACTCCTAATTCGCTGCTTATTGACAAAGTAAGGTAGTTGTTTAGGTACTGGGTAGAGTTAAGGGATCTAAAATATGGTCATGCAGAATAAGGCATTAATATGTGCTTTATAAGTAGGAATAATCAGCCAATATGCTAGTAATATGCATGCTAATGAAGCAACTAGCTAACAGTGAATAGTGTTGCCTAATCTAAAGCGTTACCTAACAATCTACTATAGTTGCTCTTAATTCCAGCATATAACAAAATGTACCATAAAGTATTGAAAAATGAAGAAAAATAGAAATGTGGAAATGTGTGGTGATAGCATAAACATACAATATAAAAATAGACATCACACGGGGCAAAACCTTTTAGAACTGAAGCATTTGAAACAGCTCACCATTTTTCAGCAGGCAATAAGTTCACAAATGACTTGGAGTCGTGACCTCTATATGATTTTCATTTACAATGCTTGGTATTAAAATTTGGGTTAATGTCACTTTTGGGTGAACTTTTTTTTTTTTTTTTTTATATATTTTCAAAACTTTTAAACCTTTTTTTTTTTTTTTGATATATTTTAGAAACTTTTAAACCTAACAATAACATTTAAAACATGTCTTTGCAAAATGAGCGGATAATACTGGATAAAGATCTGAACCATGAAACTGCAACACAGAGAAACGTGGGAATCTCACAACCACCTCAATGTGAATGTCAATGTTTACACATCACTGTTTTTTTCCTTCCACAGCTGCTTGCTAATTCGGGCTTGTTTCCAAAGATGGGGCCCTGTAATTAATGTGGGCCCCAGCTGGTGCTGTATTTAAGGACTGCACCTGGTCCGTGGGCCTTTCACTTACTTGTGGGCCTGTGTACATGTGTGTTTATTTATTTCTGACTGTTCTTCTCCACAGGAGGCGCTTTCAAGCTGTCATTTGATCCCTCGCTGAAGATAGGGCAGGTAGAGAGTGAAAACGGAGAGGTCGTGGAGGGTCAATATAACCCCTCCGACTGTACGGCCAGGCAGAGTGTGGCCATCCTTATCCCTCACAGAAACAGAGAAAAGCACCTGCTCTACCTCCTGTACCACCTTCACCCGTTCTTACAGAGGCAGCAGCTTCACTACGCCATCTATGTCATTCACCAGGTGGGCAAGACTCCCATTAGCCCTGGCAGGAGTTTTTGCAGTCGTATAATCCTTGTTGCTAGAATTTGGTGCCATTTTTAGAGGGTCCAGTCTTCATTTTTTTATGTTAGTAAGGGTTTCTTGGACCACAAACATAATTTAGTTTTTTATGAGCATTTCCTAGTTTCTATCTGACGTTAAAAAAGGACTTTTATTGCTTCTATACCTTTAAGACTTAAACATAAATGCCCTCTTCATATGTGAAATGCATAGCAGTGTTTGCTTATGACTTTGCTCCTGGTTCCATTATAGTTTGCATTGCCTTTCCTTAAATAACAGCCTGTTTGCAAAGCCTATAATACATTGTTACACATTCACCAAACAGTCTATTCTGCAAAAACTGGTAAGACCAAACTGAAATGACTGCAAATATTAAACTCTGATCCCTAACATTGAGTTCATTTGGAAGGACACACTTTTTGTTCTTTAGTTATATAAAAACAATTTGAAAGAGAGAATTGTTGTCTTCAACAATAGTATATTATTTCCTTCTCATTATTACAGTGACAGAGCAAGCCAAGTTTCTGACTACTGAATTACCATTTTTGATAAGTAAATGTGGGCGATTATGAGTCTTTTGGACTGTAGAGTAAGTGTTCAGTATTTCTCAATTGTTTTCATTTTACAATTAACTATAAAACAAAAATCAACAACATTTTTCCTATGACACCTTCAACAACACAGTGGAGAAAAGTGCCACCAGCTGATGTTGGTCAAATGAATATTTTAAGTTGTACAATTTTCATTTTGAGGAAATGTACGGTTAGGTAAAGTAAAAATGGTGGGCTCAAGGTGTTATGAAAGATATGCATGCTTTTCTTTTCATGTTATGAAGGTGTTCCCATTTAAGCTTTGCCAGTTCTGCCAGTTGTTCTGTCGGTAAAAACTGTTAAGGTCAGATTCAGATCTTATAATAACAGTTATTTTCTTTTTTAAGAAAATAAACATTACAAAAACCATCAAATAACATCTCTCCAGCTCTTCATGTCACAGTAACGCCTATACACTTAAAAAATTATTTGTTCTTTTTTGATCTTTGAAGTCATGAAATGAGTGTTGGAAAAGACCTGGTGATCTACAGGAACTCACAGCATAGAAGATTTGCAAGCCTTTACTGTGTGTGTATAATATATGTGTCTGTTTTTCTTGTAGGCTGGAGATGCTACATTTAACAGGGCAAAGTTATTAAATGTTGGCTACCTCGAGGCTCTGAAAGACCAGAGCTGGGACTGTTTCATCTTCCATGATGTTGATCTAGTTCCTGAGAATGACCAAAATTTATACATGTGTGAGGATCAACCTAAGCACTTGGTAGTGGGGAGAAATTCCACTGGGTACAAGTGAGTAATGCAGTCTTCTTCATTGAACAAACACATTCTTATCCAGGGCAAATTACAATACATTCTTGGAACAGACAACATCCGGGTTAGACGTGCAACACGTAAATCAATACAAGCAGTACTGTTTCTCTCTAAAATACTAAAGCAACAGAAGTGCTGGGAGTAACTAAAAGCAGTGACACTACTAGTTTAACTAAATTTTTCAGTAGTCTGATTTAGTGGTTCAGATGTTTTGCGTTTTAAATAAAGCCTGTGCCCATCATACATGGGTTTCTTTTAAATCTGTCAACTCAACTAGCGTTGACTCATCCAGACTGTATATCGGGGCCAAATCTGGGCAAAAGTGATGTAGTAATTAGATAATAATTATAATAGTATTATCAGTGATTGCATTCTTTCAAAATATTAAAGTGCAAAGCCAGTAAATTAATGTACTTATTTAAAGGGGTCATATGATGCGATTTTAATTTTTCCTTTCTCTTTGAAGTGTTACAAGCTCTTGGTGCATAAAGAAGATCTGTAAAGTTGCAAAGACTAAAGTCTCAAATCCAAAGAGATATTCTTTATAAAAGTTAAGAGTCAACCATGCCTACCTAAAACGGCTCGTTCTAACACGCCCCCACATGCAACAAATGCCTCGTTTATAATGGGTTTTAATTAGGGCTGCACGATAAATCGCATGCGATATTTAACGCGCATCTTATCAGTAAAGCCGGTTCTGTAATCAGCGGTAATTCTCCATCACCTGCGGGCTTTCACATTGAGCAGCATTAACTACACAGAGCCGTTGTTCACTGACGAGTTGCGCAAAACCACGTTCATATTCGCGCGATTTTTTGCGCAGCTCGTCAAAACACATTTCATTACACCAAATACACAAAATAATGTTCTTTGTGATTGTAATAGTCATATGACCCCTTTAAATATATTTTACTGGTGAAATCAATTTTTGTATACATTTTGCGACAATTCTTTATATATTTTGCTTTAGTCTGCAAGTAGGAGCTGCATGCATTTCAAGACTACTTTACTAAATGTTACTTCTGAACTTACAAACTTACAAAAATTCCACATCACAGTGGTGTAAGTTTTGAAAATATTTTTGTTTATGTCCAAAGTAATTTGATACAGTTTTCTGCCATTACAAACTGCACATATTCTAATTGTGAATAACTGTTGCACACAGTTTTTAAGGTAGTTTGCAGGCGGGTTGTATCAAGCATTATGGAGATGGTCTTCTCCTATATGCAGCAGTTTTTGTTCTGCATGTAAAACTTAAATCCTAAAATTATTTAAGTAGCTTGTTCCTGGCATTCTACAGTTTTAGTAGTTTTAGAGCTTCTCCATTTTCCATTGCCATTCAGCTAAACGGAATATGACATACCCAAAGTAATTTCTTGAATTTATTTAGTAAAATTATATACTATAGCTCTTTTTAAATAATTGTTAAAGACATTTGTCACCTTTTGACCAGACTCAGATACAAAGGTTACTTTGGAGGAGTTTCGGCCATGACAAAGGATCAGTTTCACAAGGTGAATGGCTTTCCAAACTCCTACTGGGGCTGGGGTGGAGAGGACGACGACCTGAGAATAAGGTAAGAGAAACTTAGGCCGATATGGTTTAGGATGTGCACAAGTACCTGTAGGTGACTTACACAAAATGGCTAATCTTTAAAACATTAAAAAAGGACATAATATATGTAATACGAAGGGGCATGTGTTTTTTTTTTTAGTGAAGAGAGATTTCAATTTCTGATGTAGTATCGTCCATGTTAGAACATTGCTGTCTTCTCATTGTTAAGGATTTTAACAGAACCATCTTTTTCAGGGTGACACTGCAGAAAATGTCAATAATCCGTCCATCCCCGGAAGTGGCACGCTACACCATGGTCTTTCACAAGAGGGACAGCGGCAATCAAATCAATAAAGATAGGTCAGTTTAAGTGTGAATGATAAATATATATTGTAGTACTAGTGTTATTCTGGTCTTCTGAGAAATCATAACTAAAGTGAGGAACAATTTTGAGAGCATGCATTGTTAAATCACAATTAATTTAAGGAAATGAGCTTAATACATCCAGTGATAATGACAACGATAATGACAACTTCTTAGTATTTAGCATCATACTAAAAAATATGGGTTAGATGAATACAGTAAAAAAATCTAATTCTGAATAATTGAATCACGAGTTTTAAGATGATGGTTTGCCCCATAAAAATTTAGAGTAGCGCCATAAACTTAATCCTGCATGTCACACAGTTCTCTGTGCCGTCTGTTGTATACCAGCAGTTATATAACACAAAGGTCATTCCAAAATTAATGTTTAATGGAAAAATGGTGAAGATCAGTGGACAGGCAGTCTATTAATTAAGTGATCAGATGTTTCCTCACAAAAGTCAGTTCACTTGTTTGGAAGCCTTTCCTCCATTGACCTGCATTAAAAAGATCCAGCCCGTTTTCAATTATTCAAAGTCCAATAATGAAAATCATGCCCCAAAACAGGGTGCTTTTGGCATCTGTGATATGCCGAAATATTGGATATGCAGCATTTCACGGATGCCTAGGTAGTGACAGTGGGTTGAAAATTGAAAAATACAAATTTGAAAAAAAAAAATTGACCCTTGGTTTGATTGCTTATATTGTCCTCATTTGTAAGTCACTTTGGATAAATATATCTGCGAAATGATTAAATGTAAATGAAAATTGGCCTCTTGTCTTCAATGAAGTGTGCTAGAGCAGATAGCAATGGCATTCAAAGTGAATTTATGAATCATAACCTGCCAAATTGACTATTGAGTTATAATAGCGTTACTCATTGAGTGATTAGGAAGTTAGCTTACAGTGCCATCTTTCTTAATTTTCAGATTTTTAACTGACATATTGATATTATCAAACCAATTTTTGTACATTTTTCAAACAGAATGAAACAAAACATGACTGAATTCATAAATTCTATTGCTAATACTATTCTATTGATGCTTGTGGTGTTGTTTTCCCACCGAATGCTCTATCATTTCCTAGAAGACTTTCCAGGTGTAAATACCGAACTGTGGTTAACTTTGGTTAAAGAACAATACAAAAGAAGCAGAAAAGTGATATAGAAAAAGCATTTACATTAAAACACCAAAATCTTGTTTACAAAAGGTTTACATGTATAAAAACATGCAAATTTGATAGTACTACTCATGGTCTACTAAGGATTGCACCATTCACAAAGCAAAAAGCACATAATTTTTTTGTGAGACTATTTTAAAAAGTGGTTTACACTACATGTAAAAAAAAAAAAGCAATCTGCACATCACTAAGTATCACTAAGTCACATGTTCTCTGTCATCAAATCTTTCTACCATGTATATTGTGGTTTACAGTGTTTTTTCCCCCTGGCATAAGATCTTTTTTTCTTGATTTGCATATTATTTTATAAAGATTTTTATAATATATAATTACACTTTTTTTATTTTTTTATAGAAAACTATCTTGAGTGCAGTCTTGTGAGTGCATACCATTCAAATGAAAACGGAACAATTTAGTGTTTTACATTTAATGTGTAAAACGTTTTTGTGACATCACATGTTTGAATAAATCCGTTTAAGTTCACTTAGTCAGTAACAGATTAGATTTATCACAAAATCTTATCATCATCGCTAGTTTGGCTTACTAACTGGTATGTGGATGGTGATTGAGATGTGCTGTTGTGCAGTTTGAATCTCTTTCGTCTTCATCTCAACGTTAGGAAATAATGGTTGAAGCTTATGTGCCTAATCACATCAGTAGAACATTATTTGTTTGTTCAGTGAGTTTCACCGTGGATTAATTTGTAAACCAGTCGTTGTGCATGATTGGACCCAACATTAATGGCACAACACGTAAGCAAGTTGTGACACTACTGTTTTGATGCAGCCAGTTTTGTTTCAATCTCATTGAGTTAAAAGCATCAGAGGTTCCCACAAATGCACATTAAAATGAAGATATTATACATGGATTTATATCTCACCATACATTCCACAATTACATCTCATGACAGGTATTAATTAATGAAATGAAATAAATGCACAGCTGTTTGCATTTGTACTCTGCATCAAAAATATATATGAATACGCTGTTGCTTCTCCAGCTTTTATGTCAAGGAGTTGTAAAGACTGGTTACTCTCATGGTATGTATGAATCACGTTTCTGTCAGAGACTCAGTGGCATATAAATGAGAATTTATGTTATGCAGAAACTCTCACAGAGCAGAAAAAAAACATGAACACATTTCTCACGTAATATATGTGATCTCACAGTTTGAAGTGTCTGTCAGAGGAAATTAACAAATGTCATGAATAATGAAGAGAAGTTTGTTCTTATAGAATGAGCACATGCATTCTTATGAATAATTATGAGACACAGAGAGGAGTCATCGATATACTGTAGGTGTGAGGAAATGTTGCATTCTGTGACATTGACACAATGAGGATTTTAAATAGGGAAGCTCAAAATTAACCAGTTTTCTCCTCAAATAAATTTGACACATGCTAGCGTTATCTTCTGTGATGTACAACACAAACACCTCTCTGAAAATGTAGTTAAGCGTTTCAGAGGTTTTCTTTTAGTTTGTCATAATCCAGACTTTTTAAAACAGATCCTCATGTGCAATAGTGTGGGCATTGATGCTTAATTCCAAAGTATATATGTAAAGATGTTACTCCATTATAACAGTCGGCAATTCTATTCTTAAGTGTTAAAGGGGAATTAACTCCAAAACTGAGTGTTTTGAGTTAGACTTCACTGTAAACGCCCACGGCTATGATTGGCTAACATCTGTGCATATGAAATAAGGGTAACACTTTATTTTAAGGGTCAGTTCTTACTATTAAATAGTTGCTTATTAGCATGCATATTACTAGCATACTGGCTGTTTATAGGTACTTATAAAGCACATATGAATGCCTTATTTTTCATTACCATATTTTAGATCCTTTAATCCTATCCCACACCTAAATTTAACAACTACCTCACTAACTATTGATGAGCAGCAAATTATGAGTTTATTAAGGGAAAACTCTGAAATAATAGTGAATATGTGTTCCTTATTCTAAAGTGTTACCGAAATAAGTATTACATTTGGAGCCCTCTCGAAAACTTGCTACGTTTTTACTATTACAGCTGTTTAGATTAACTAATCGTGAAAAGTGTTGATTCGCGTTTATGAAATTGTGTGGTTTGCGTGGCACCTAAATACCTTTGGGAAGGTGGTGTTATTTTTAGTCCAGCTATGCTGTATTGATTTCTCCTTCTCATCTCACTAACGCTTCAGTGGACAGGGCAAAGACACAATGGTGCAAAAGTAGGCATTGATCTGATTCTGCAAAGGCAGGCTCATCATAATGTCACAAAATTAGTGTTGTCAAACAATTAATTGCGATTTATGCATCCAAAATAAAAGATTTTGTTTACATAATATATGTGTGTGTGCTGTGTTTATTTATTCTGTATCTATAATTACACATACATGCATGTATATATTTAAGAAAAATGTTGTTTATATTTTAAATATTTATATATAATATAAATTATATGAATATAAATATATACATGTAAATATATGTAAATATATGTAAATATTTTCAAAATATATATTGTATGTGTGTGTATTTGTATATACATAATAAATATACACAGTACACGCACATATATTATGTAAACAAAAACTTTTATTTTGTATGCGATTAATAAGCAATTAATGGTTTGACAGCACTAGACGAAATCTGCCATTTTCTGTACTTGGTATCAATAAAAGCTGTTTTTGGACTAACGTGGAAGGTTTGAGCTCTGAAACGTACAGGGCTGAGTTTCCCAAAAGCACCGTAAGCTTAAGTACATCGAAGACCCATTGAAACCAATGGAGCTACGATCAACTTATGCTTACGATGCTTTTGGGAAACGCAGCCCAGGATGCTTTTATAGTACAATGACCTTTTATGGTATAAAGGACATGTCAAAAGATCAAGGAAAATTTGATTTCTCAATTCATGACCCTTTTAAAAATGCAGGAATATGATAATGTTGTACTTAACATGTCAATGTTTATTTTCAGTGTGGCGTCTGATGCTTAGTTTTCACTTTGCCCAACACAGGATGCAATTGCTACGCCGTACTCATCAGGCATGGAAGACTGATGGTTTGAACTCCTGTTCCTACAAGATTCTGTCTGTCCACAGAGCACCACTCTTCATCAACATCACCGCGGACATTGGCCGGCCGGAGCATGCTCATTGAGCCGGGTTTTTGGACACTGAAATTCGAGAGACACTTAGCATTAAAAACCTCAAAACATTCACCAGTGCCTGGCAGATCCAGTACTAGGTGTACAGGTTGCACTATGGATCTGTCCAACTTTACTCTTTATGGCCCTGCAAGATAATAAGGCCAGAATTCTGATCAAACACTACTTTAAGTATTACAATAATCAAGTAGAATTTAATTAGTCTGATCATGTAAACCTTTCAGGGTTGAAATGAAAACAAATTCAATATTCATTACCTCCAGTTATGAAGTTATGGGTTTATATAATGTATTCTGTATGACTTGTATTCGTTAAGGTCGTTACAGAATATGGCACAACATCTGGGAGTAATGGAACACAAAAGAGCTGCACCTGATAGGTCAATAGGTATACATGATGTAGACTTAACATTTGTACTTTATACAGGCAGAGGAGGTTTACTTGAGTCTTTAAAGCAAGTCTGCATGTTCTGTGATGATGATTCCAGCTGGACATGCTTCTAATATATGTCTGGTGGAAAATTGTAGATACTGTAGTAGGTGTTTGGGTCCAATGATTTGGTTTAATCAGTTCAGTTTCATTTCACTGAAATGTAGCTGTAGATGGGTTATGTTACATTTTTACATTGTTCAGACAGAATGGCTGTTCACTCATAAAGCTGGGTGGTGTTGGCTTTTTTCAGAGAGCCGAGAAAAGAGACTTTTGTTTACTTAGGATAATATCATCTTATTGTCGTGATCCTTTCCATTTTTAAAAGCTTACATATTGTGTCACAATCAGAATTTGTCAGAATTTAAAATGATCCATAAAATAAAGTACATTACAGACTGGAGTCTGCTTCAGTTTTTAAACTCTTAGTACAATTCATATAGAAGCTTTTCAGAAACAAAGTTTGACTAGAAATTGATCTTGACAAGTTGCATTTCAACACAACATGGCCATCTCATCAAACCTGCTAATTGTTGAGTATGAGAATATAACTATAAGAGCTTTTTTTTTCCTACAACAAAACAAAAAAAAAAATGTATAGTGCACGAGGATCTATTAAGTGACATTTTCTATGGATCCCAGAAAAAAAGCTTCTTTCCTCGGTTTTTCTTCAGACTTTTAAAAAATGATTTGGGTGTTGTAACTGTGAACATTTTATGTATTTTATACTGTGCAGAAATAATGGACAAAAGTTTGTGAATATTAATGAGAACTTTGCATGAATAGGGTACACATTAGTATCCCATTAGTTTTTGTAAAGCAATCAAAGGGCAGAAATCCCATGTTCTGTGGAATAGAAACTATCAGACAAAAACTGCTATCTTCCATAAAATTACCACAGGAGATGTATTTACATAAAAACACCGAATAGCTCTATCTGAGCCAGCTCCCTTGAAATTGTGATTTAAAAAAAGAAAACTATATTATATGTAGTTTGACATCTTGAGGTTTTTGGTGAAGCACTCCATTTTGATGAATCTGTGTTGAAAAAGAAACTTTTGCAAGAGGTTTTGTACCCTTTTCATGGAAAGTGCCTATACCACTGATACAGTGCTGAACCTGTGTGTGTCAGCTATTGAGAAAAGCCAGTTTACTAATGTTAATACTGCAATACAGAATGACATTAAACATAGATAGCTTTTTTTTTTCAAAAATGTTGCATAGATTTTGGCTGTATGATCTAAGCATATTTACTAGTCACTACAGGCAATAGTTTTGTGGATGTCCATGATTTAAATAATTGATCTTAAATTGAAAGTATCTGTATCTCAAAGTAATGTAATGCTTTTTACATTATTAAATTATCTCAAAGTAATGGGTGTGAAGGCTGGTCCGATCACTTAGAAGAGCTTCTGTAGTGCAGTGTTTTGCTCTGGACAATGTTCTGCTGGGAATCCTTGAGTCCTGCCATTCATGTGGATGTTACTTTGACATGTACCACCTACCTAAAATATTTGCTGAAAACGTACACCCTTCACGGCAACAGTGTTCTCTGATGGCAGTGGCCTCTTTCAGCTGGATGAAGTACCACACTGCAAAAATAGTTCAGAAATGGTTTGAGGAACATGACAAGTTCATTTTCCCAAATCTCAATCCAATTGAGTATCTATGGGATGTGCTGGACCAACAAATCCGATCCATGGAGGCCTCACCTCACAACTTGAATGACTTGAAGGATCTGCTGCTCATGTCTTTGTGCCAGATACCACAGGACACAATCAGAGGGCTTGTGGAGTATATGCCTTGACGCATCATAGCTGTTTTGGCAGCACTCTTCGCAAGTTAAATATCAAATTACACCTTATTGACTAAATTATATACTGTACATTAATTTTTGCATTGTTTGGAAACTTGATCAAATTTTTGTGAAGCTACTGCATCGTGGAGCAAACTGTGTTGCCTCATTTTCCAACTGACTAGTGAAATACCTGTAACATTTCAAACAGAGCTGTGCCAAGAACACAGAGACCATTGAAAAGCCCAAAGCCCGGGCAAAAAAGAACTCATTTCTTGAGATTCAAAACAACATTGTGAGTCAGATAATATAAACGAGAGCTGATGGTCTGGAGGAAATTGTCAAGAATAACACTGTCAGTATTATTTACATTTTTAAATTGCTCACCAGACTTTGCCTTAAAAATCTGATATAAAAGTTGTGAAAACACGAGAAACAAATGAAAGGTAAAGGAATTAGAAGATAAACGTAACCAGGCCAGATTGGCAATGGATGTAGACATTGTTCATCATTTAGGACCAGAGGAACCAAATTGAGGCGCCAGAATGACAATAATCCAATTTTCAAGCAGACTTGCGCCTCTCACTGGCAGCCGTTTATCTTCACTTTTGGTGGCCGCCAGCTCATAAACACATGTTTGGTACTGTGATCTTTACTGTGCTGTGGCAGACAGTGTGGTTCTTCAGTGGTTTTCTACACTAGAGTAAAGCCCGTATAGAAAAAGGCTATGGGAGATAGGATACTGGGAGCGAATGAAAGAATACAGTTGAGATTATTAGCTATAAAAATGGTAAGGAAAATGCTGGTTAGGGAAAAAAATAGGATTAGAGAGAATCATTGATTAAATTATCCAAATATCTTTTATAGACACTGACCTAATCTGATAACATGTTGCATATACTACAATGGAAGCCTTTGTGTGGAAGGATAATGAATGAAAGAAATTGTTAGAAAATGGGGGAAAATACTTCCATAAATTAGAAAAGAAAATATGAATCTAGTTCTTTTGTCAAACTTAAAATAGATGGGGAAATCAATTAAAATATAATAAATATATATTTTATGCACCTTTTTCATTCAATGCGGAAGTATGCATATGGACAGGACTTCCGGTTCATTAGCCACTAAAGGGAAATAACGAGAAGAATAACAATGCTATAAATGGTCAAACTGTTTGCACTACAAACCAGTGTGTTCATAATTAAGATTCATTTTCAATATCAAGCAGCAAAACCAACTGTTTTGTACAGCTAAAAATAGCTGGATGTGGATGAGACCGGAAGCTAGACCCATAGAATTTACAAATGGCCATACCCATTTTTACGGGAAGAAAAAGGTGGATATATAATTTATGGGAACCTGTCCACCAGTCACACGTTCCCTCTAACAGAAATTGCAAGCTTTGTAAAATCAGTTAAAGAACATACTAAATTCTGGTACTTATGTAATAGCTTTAAATGAGATTAAAATAATGCAAAATTGAAAGAGAACAAATCCCCTGGTAATGATGGACAGACAAGTGGATTCAGGTGCACCACTATGGTTTCTGGCCCCCCCCCCCACA